AATAATTCTGATGATGATGGGATGAAATTTCTAGGATGAGTTTTGCATGCCCCCATGCATTTATCTGGAGACTACGAGATTAATCTCATAGACATTTTTGCCGTCAGCTTTTATTCGGCTGATTTGACTGAACGCATAAAGGTGTAGACACCTCAGATGGTTTACGGTAGTCTAGACCCTGGTCACCCTCACTCACTCTTTTCGCTTTTTCTCCCTTTGAGGCTCCAAATATAATCAAATAGGATTATTGGTAGTACGACTGATGTTGCTGTCAATGATTATGATGGTAATAATTCTGATGATGATGGGGATGAAATTGTGAAATCCACCAGTCCTGCGATCACCTGCAACCTTGTAAAATCTCACCGATCAGCTCCGTGGCAGAAAAATAGGTGAAGTATACTAATTAGTTACTCGAATTTCACACTCGATACACAAACAAACGTTTCACCATTGAAAGCTAATGACCGTAATCGATTTTTTTTAAAATAATCTCATTTACTGACTAGAAGCCACAATCCGGCTCTCAGAAACGACAAACTGAAAAGCAATCTTCGTGTATTTGTGCTCTTTTTGCGCTCAGTCTTAGCACTTACGCCCAAACAAATATTTGTTCCCTATGAAATCCGATACTCATTTCGATCTTGTATCACTTTTGCAGATAATCATATTTAAACTCACACTGGGGAAATAAATCAGTATTTGACTGAATAACTGGCAATTTAGACGTTTGCTTTATATCTACTGTATTTCCGACCATTAAACGACCTTTTTCTTTGATGAATTCATCCTTTTTTGTTTCGTATCAGCTAAAATACTTATCTAAACAAGCGACATGTTCTGAAACTTACAAAATCCCACTTAACTACACGAAGTTTCTTTGGTCAGTGTTCTCTCTCATTATACTTGGGAACATCCAATGCTGGTGTGACCAATTACACGTGATACATCCTATGTAATAAAGCTAGTACTGAGTTTTTTGGCATATGTTGGAGGCGATTCTGCGGACTATTCATTTGAATCTATATTTTTCATTCGGATTATGACACATTTTACGGCAAACCAACGCCAAGCAAACCAGAGGACTGTGCTTCAAACTGCCCCCCATTCTCTCACTTATGCGTTTACAGTTTAGCAGTGTCGATGTGACCTGAGAATAGCACGCACTTGCAGAAGAATGATCTGAAGAGGGTAACGAAAGAATTGCCTGCTCTTGTCTGTGCCTAGGCCATTCGTATTCAAACTGCCCTACTTTTGTCCTGACTCCACTTGCTTGTCAGCCACTTTCAGACATGCGAAGCATTTGCTTAGATTGCTCCTCAGCAGGCGTCCTGTAATCCGTACGCCCTAAGCAGACGTGAATGCACACGCCTGTTCGGAGGTGAGAATTCAGACGAGTCCAATGTATGCTGGTAGATTTTGGTATTACTCGTCAAGTATGCCACGTGATTAGAGTTCGCATTCCAATATGACCGAGAAAATGCACACCAAACCCCAGAGTTTCTTCTTCTCCCTTGGTACGGGCTAAGCAAGTAGAGCAATATTCGGACGATGTCCGCCAAAAATTACTCATTCGCATTCTGAGACTCGCACGGATTTAAACCGCATCCTTTTGAGGACAATGGAAACTACATATGCAAATCCCAAAAAAACAAACTTTCGATTCGGGCATGTTGTAAGGCTTTCCATACAATTTTAAACCTGTTCCATGATTTATAACCATACCTGATGGAAAAAGTACAACCGAGATCACATGTTCACACGACTCGGCACCTGTGCGGGGGAATTCGTGAACATAAACCATGCAACTTGAGAAATGAACAGGTAGGGCAAGTGATCAAAGCGAGTGCCGCTGATCGACACCAACCACCAAACAAAACTAGTGGAATCGTTCAGTGCAATTGACAGGTGCAGTTAAGTCGTCCAGAGACCATGAACCAATCAGCCTTCAAAACAGTCGACGCAACTACCACTCGGTCACTTGATTGCTCTCTGTGTCACTAAAAAGTTGCGGACCGTATTATGCTGTCGGTTTCAGTCAAAATTCAACAAACTGATTCTCTAGAGTCGTTTTTAGGCCTTTGGCGCATTGATTATGCTAATCCATAA